GCACGTGGTTTTCCCCCCTCTACCCGTGGGGGGGGAGTGATCGATCCCCAAATACAAGATCATAAAAATCAAAAATCAAATAAATCTTATTTTAAATTTATAGCAAAAAAATAAAATCGATATTTATCTAAATAGGAAATGTGAAAAAAATTTTTTGCCCAGTATAGTGCACATTTAGCCACACTAAAAATCACCCCAAAAAAAAACAAATAAATAAACAAGGGGGAACCTTTGAGGCGTTAAATTTATAAATTAATCAGTAACAAAAAGTGTTTGTCCCCCTCATGAAAGAAGTAGAAAGATGAAAAACAAACTAGTCAACAAAAATCAAAAAGCATAGAACATCCGGAATTGAACCTGTCACCCCAAGGGGTGTGCTTTCTACACCGAACCTAAAATCAAAACCTTTTAAATTTTGTTTTTTAACAACAAAAAGGGTCACTGGTTAAAAATTTTTGTGCATTGTTTTCCATATGCTCTTAATATACTTAGTAACCTTGGTGCAATTTCAGGGTTGAAATAACCGTCCGTTTTACATGTTGTGGAATTAAAACTGACGTAGCATGGCGATAATACCCTTTTATTGGGCGGCCTAGCTGACAATTGGGTCTTATGCCCTTGTTCCATGCGAGGCGCACACGCCGTCTGGAATGTGACAGGTTCAATTTCCGGATAGTAACCTATAGCTTCGTCCTTTATGTTGGCCTAGTGTGTTCTTGTATCTTTCTACTTCTTTCAATGAAAGCCGATCAATACAGTTTCTGTTACTGAATTTATCCAAAAAAATAACAGCTGAAATGAAATATTTTAGAAGCTTTGTCGCAATTACAACATCGAATTTGAACCGTGTGTGTGTGTTTGTGTGTGTGTGTGGGGGGGGGGGGGGGGGTGGGGGGTGGGGGGTGGGGGGGGGGGGGGGGGGGGTGACGAGGCAATCTGGGGAAATATGAGAAGACCTCAAGTCAAAATATCTGTTAAAACTAGAGTATATATTTTTTTAAGTAACTGTATGAAAGCGTGCATATATATTATTTTAACACTGATTCGATTGAGAACTTCAAAAGACGATAGCGTTGTCTGACTATTGAGGTGATGGCGGAAACACAAGCAAAAATGTATCTACAGATGTGGCATATTTCGTATGCGTGATTAATAAGTGAATCCCTGCGCATGCTCAGGAAGATAGAGCCAGGTTGAATTCGAAGAAAATGTTTGGAATCGCTGAGGAAATCTTGTCTTAAAGGAATTCGTTTCATTTCTGTGATAGGACACTCAGATATAAGAGGGAAGAACGAGCAGATGTGCTTGCTGGCTGAGCCACTGTAGGTACAGGAAAAGCACTGGATCAGGCGGTCATTTTCTATGCACTCAAGGAGGTAGATCGAGCAGATGATTCAGGAGACGACGTAGAATCGGGAACAGTCAAAAGACTACAAGAACTTCAGGTCAAAAGAGGTGTCGACAAAAATGAACACTGTACACGTAGCTAAAAAAGAATAGTAAACCAACATAGAACTGGTGTTATGTGTCGCAATACGCTGGGAGATGTAATGAAGATACGATCCTAGCCCTTATGGACTTGTCCGACGTGCAATGAGAATAATCTGTCGCTTAACATTTTAACTAAATATACATGTATGAACACACACATATACACATGTTGAGCAGCAGTCGGTTTTCAAAGCAATCTTAGTCATTTAAAAAAATAAATAGATCTCCATGTAGTCCGGTCTCGTGCAGCAGCTTCACAGTTGTCATGGTCTATATTAAAGGCTTTAAGTGATGCATTTTAGCTTTTATATTTACCGTCTATATTAAGAAATAGGGCGTCCTAATGTCAGACACACAAGTGTTGTTTTAAAGCCCCACCCTATTTGTTGTCGGGGCTCTAATATAGCTTAGCGGGGTTTCTGTGACCTGTCCCAGGGTGATCGTCATTCAAATGATGGCACTTTGTGTCACAAGGTGTTTATCGCTCGGTGTGATGTCCATGTTTTTTTTAAATTCCTGGCCACCATGAGAACGTCCACCTTCCAGTATGCCACCAGACATATAGGTATATGCATTAATATATATGCTTACACACACATACTTACATATAAATATCTCAAATATCAAATATCTCTGTGCGTGCATTGTGAGTCTTAGAATCATCTATATGCATGATTATACCTGTATATACATGACATATATTTAAGCAGATTCTTGTACTTAAAAAAAAAAAGTTTGTTGATTA